AACTCTTACCCCACCATGTCAATCCTCTCAATGACACTGTCCATACTCTCGGATCTAAAATTTACCTTCTTACTTAATCCATACTCTTGGATATAATCCATGCTCTTGGATCAATAACTGTGCCCATTCCATACTCTCGGACTAGGGACAATTATCTATGTCTAAATCCATACTCCCGGATTAATGACAAATAACTATGTCCTATCCATACTCTCGAACTAAGGACAACTGACTATGTCTTTATCCATGCTCCTAGATTAATGAAAAATGGCTGTGCCTAATCTATACTCTCGGACTAGGGATGAATGACTATGTCTAATCCAGGATCCCGAATCAATGACATAATTTAGAGTTCTATTCTCTATGTATATCTCACTCGTACTCATAAGAAGATACTACCCAATATTCCTCATAATTAATTTAGGTTTACTCTTTATCCTAATTCCTCATATATTATCAGGTATGCTCTTTAACACGTATTTCAGGCAACATCAAATATTTCAAACATAAACATATATTTAATACTTCAATCAATACTTGTACTAAAATCATATTCATGAAAGGGACTATGCACTCACTTGTTAAAGTGATGATTCCAAACTCAGACAACGCTTCGCTTCTTAACAATATAATTTCCTTCGACGAAACCTAGTATTATTACCACTAGATTTTAGTCTACTATTTACCGTGACTAATTATTAGTCTTAACATTATTATTATTATATAAGCGTTTAAAAATATTTTCCAACCATTATGTACAGACAGGGGCCAAACATAAAACACCGGAGGGTAGGACCATTTTGGCATATAGCACTTCTGAAATCCAATAACCCTATGCGGGCCTTTAAACCAGATTCCCCGTACTGCGAGTAGTTAAAAAGATATTATAACGACACTTATATAAGTCATAATAATAGCCCAAATATTTATTATAAGTTCATAATAACAATACTAATTTTAAATATAAGCTATATTTAAAATAGGGTAAGCATAACTTACTTACAAGGGAGTTTTATCTAGGAGCCGGACTCTGCAGGGGCAGAACTTAGTCGTTGAATCTTTCTAAGAAAGATTCTTGCAGCGCTTCGGCGCTCACCTTACTATACTAAAACTACAGAAAGAGGAGTCGAATCACGAGGGACCGAAATGCTCGGGGAATAAGAAGAGATACAGTTTTGAATCAAGAGAATGGTGCAAGAAATATGAGAGCCTAGAGGCTCTTATTTATAGTAATTGAATTTTCAAAAACCACCCTCTATATTTACTTAAATGACTAAATACCCCTTTATAATACTATTTTAAATAGATTTAATGATATTTGTACTAAACTAATGTCGAAAGTACTCAACACTAGTTTTATAACGACCGCATCGTCAATACCTTTCTAATGATATATACATATGTATACGTATTTATGATTTACACTTTATTTTAATACGTAAAAGTGCTATTAAAAATTATAACTCGTTCATACAAACTCCGTTTTTGACGTTCGTTATATCCACGTGTATCTATCGACGAGATCTACAACTTTCGTTTAGACTCCGTCGGCTAATTTTGAATATATATTTTTGTCCATTTTTTTATAAAATTAAACGATTGTGCTAAAATCATAGCTCTCTCGTACGGACTCCATTTTTGACATTCTTTTTCTCAAAATTCCTTTATTAAGGAGTACTACGATTTTATTTTTGGTCGCATCATCTAAAATTCAACCATTCTATTCGTAGCTTTTTTACGTCATACATTCGTTGTGCGCGGCTGACTTTTATATCTTATAAAAATCATATCTAATTCATACGGAGTCGGATTTCTACGAAATTTATATTTCCGGGATCGGGAAGACGTGTACTTTCTATATATATATATATATATATATATATATATATATATATATATATATATATATATATATATATATATATGTTTTGACGCACTTATTTTTACGATTTACGGACGATTCGACTGATTTTTCCTATTTTATTATATTATAATAAACATGAAACATATAATATTCACATAATTCTTCTTTATTAAATCAAATAGGTTACAATTGTTGACCATAACTATTACTTTGGTTAAGATTATTTATCCTAGATAACAAAAAAAAAATCATTTTTAACGCTTATTATTGAATAGCCCGAATCTATGGATGTTACAACTATCAGCAGTCCAAGTGAGCTAACAGCACGCCCGATGAGTCATCAGCAACCCTGGTTGGCTATCAGCAGCCTCAGTCACATATAATTATCATAATATAACATAACAGCTAGACCCAAGTGGTCATCATAAATACAACTATCCTACCATACAGGTAAGAGTAAGTGAGGAACTCATATGATACTAACGACACGTAAACCTAGCACCCAAACTGCCGGATCTAGAGAACATCTCTTTTGGAGTTTCATGCCATACTTCATCAACTTTCAATTTCCCATGAGAATCAAAGTCTTCAAAGTTTGTAACAATACTTATATGGTTGTTTTAACATCCGTAGAGAGCTCCCTGGTTTCAAGTACAGACATGATGTGGTTCGGGATGTTCTCTTTGATTCTTGTCGGCGTGTTGTATTTCTGCGAAGAAAGAAGCGCCAGTGAACTTTTTGAAGGACCCGCGGGATGGAAGGTCCACACTTAGACCGGCTGACATTTTGGTATTTGGATGGATAGGAGGGAAGCATGCATGCATGGATCTTACTGGGGTCTCTCCTCTCGTTGGTTTGGGGAGCGGGGGTTTCACAGCAGGGCATGCCACTTTGAAAGCCGCTGCGTGCAAAGTGGTAAAGCACGAAAGTGCATGTATAGAAAATCAACATGTGTTTGTACCTTTTGCATTCGATACATTTGGTTTCTCGCACCAGAGGCGGTGGAGCTCCTCAACAGAGTCCAACAGGTCATGCATTCTAATGTCATATCTCCTAGATCCACAAATGTTGTTTTCAAACGAATTGGTTTTGCCATCTAGAAAGGGCTAGCGACGCAGCTTGTTACCCGTTTGCCTTCAATCGATATGTATTGAACTATTTTAATCAGTATTTACAATTATATTAACTAAAAAAAATATTACTAAGTTCTTGCAAAATGATCTTTGGTGGGTTAAAATTAGGGATGTAAGTGAGCCGAGCTACTCGCGAGCTACTCGGGATCGACTCGTTAAAAGCTCGACTCGAGATTGAATTAAACGAGCCCGAGCCGAGCTCGAGCCTAAATATGAGGCTCGTTTATTAAACGAGCTCGAGCCGAGCTTCAGTTAGTGGGCTCGCGATCCTAAATGAGCCTAAACGAGCCTATATATATATTTATATATATATATATATATATATATATATATATATATATATATATATATATATATATATATATATATATATAGAGAGAGAGAGAGAGAGAGAGAGGCTCGTTTAAGCTCGTTTAGGCTCGCGAGCTCACTAAATTGTTCACGAGCCGAGCTCGAGCTTCATTTTAAGGCTCGAATCGAGCTCGAGCTTCTTCAAAATTAAACGAGCCAAGCTCGAGCTTGGTTAGGCTCGGGCTCGGCTCGGCTCGTTTACACCCCTACTTAAAATGATTTTAGTTTATTCAAACAATAATGCTTCCTTTGCTAAACTCGTAGTTTTGACTATTTATTTCAGAATATATTTAATAAAAACCCAACACGTACTAACGTAGGGCGGCGATTCATCTTCGTCAATGTCACACGAATTGTCGGTCGAAGATATTAGTGACGACACACGCTTTAGCGACAACACCAAGCGTGTCCGACCTGATGTCGCCGTTAAAGCCCGCATCACCGCTAAAGGTGACTTTTCTTGTTATGAGCTATAGAAAAACTAAGTCGCATAAGATTTACTATTAGTAAACTTGAATTATTGGTACTTTGGATGAAATGTAATAGTTAATGTAAGTCTTTTGGCAAACATGAATTTAATGTAATTGTTTTTTCATAAACTATCCATAAGAATTGGGGTTTTTTTTTCAACATAAAAAAAATTAATAAATATGGCGGCTTTTGTTATTTTAGACAAATTTCATATAATATTTGTGCTTTAAAAAAAGTCTTGCTACTTTGGAAACAAATAGGGTGACTAATTAGTCACCTGGTATTATTTTCATGACTTTAAAACTTGCATCGTACTACAATTCTACTTTGGAAACATATTAGATCACGTAGACACTTTGTGTTGTTTTGATATTTGAAGGTGCATTTGGAAACTATTGAGAACCTGATTGAGCTCAGTTAAAGATAGAAGGACCAAAACCGCATGCTTGCTGGGAAGTTGTACGGCGCTCAGGATACAATACGCCAAAATACTTTATATATAGAAAAGGATGCACAGTGTGGTCGTCATAACTACCACTCTCTCTCTCTCTCTCTCTCTCTCTCTCTCTCTCTCTTCTAGATATTTTTCGTTGGGTATTTCTCCTATTTAGAACTTGGATTAGGGTTACGTTTTAGTGTTCATTAGCCGTATATTAAGAGTTGAAGCAACCTTTGCTAGTTCATCATGTAAGTTTCATCGTTTTGTCAAAAATTTTGTGCTAGGTATAAGTCATCAAACGTTTTGTGGTTCAAAGTCATTGAAGAGATTTTATATTTAGTTTGTTTGTTATTTGTGGTTCTTGGCTTACATTAACGTTCTGTGTGTTTAACGATTTCAGTTGGATACGTTTCTTGAAGGATATCTACGTTCTTGGGTTGAATCTTGATACCAGAAGTGCAATTGTTGAGAAAATACAAGTGATTTCGGAGTCGAAGCATACACTCATCTCTGAAATTTGACACCCTCGTTAGGAATTTGATAAGAACTGCGCTCAATATAAGGTATTAACTATTAACATGCAACATTTGCGTTATTGGTTCATGTTTTTATGTTTATGAGTTTCTTTTCTTTTACGTTCAAATTAGTGGCGAATCTGCTGATTTTGTTTAACGTACTTAAGAGATTTCTGTTTGTAGATAGGATTTTGATTTTACGGATAACCCCTTTCATATATGATGTAATGAATTTTCGTCTTCACAGAGAATCTTCCAAGGTGCTGGAACGAATTGCTAAGACTACGGATATGGCACATTTAGCCGGAATGGACGCAATTACTCTAACAAAACTGATTCTAGATGCACATACCAGAGCTGCGGAGCATTCAGACACATGCGAAGATCTTTTCAGACGTGTAAAATTTGTTGGAAATCTGCTTGTTGAGCTAAGAGTACGTGATCTAAACGTTTCGGCAATAAGAAAACCTTTGGTGGACTTAGAGGAGGCGCTCCGCAGGACATATCTCCTTGTAGCTAAAAACCAAGAACACAATTATGCCTATAAATTTGCCTTGGGGTGGAAAATTAACAGAAAATTCAAAAAAGCCCTCAAAGAAATTGACACGATTATTAGTATCATAACACTGATATTTTTTGTAGACTATAACCGGCCACCTCAGGTACTGTTTCTTGGTTCTGACATTTACCTTAATTTTGTTAAGTTTTTTTTTTGGTATATGTTTATGATTATAAATCTATAATTTGTTTGTTTATTATAGATCACCAATTCCACAGACAAGGATATACCATTACAAGAAGGTTATTATAGGGATAAAGTTGATGATGGAAAAGTGAATCAGAACGTGTCAGGCGATGATTTAGAAAGTCCAGTTGATGATGGCGAATTGAATTGTAATGTGTCAGAAGAAGATGTACGAGAAAGGCGCTAAAGCGACTATATTCCTTCTGATTTACATGGGCACTTTGTTGGAGTTTTAGATAGGTACTATCTCAAGGATTATAGAGGCTACCTATAAATTATTATCGGGTGATTTCATATTATATTTGCGGGTACACCATTATGTGTGAAAACTTAGTGCATAAAGGAGAATTTGGTATATATTTTTCTTAAAAATCAAAATATTATATTTATACAATCTAATTTCAAAAAATCAAATTTATCTTTGATAAACTTTTAAAATATTCTAATTTTTTGAAATATTAATATTTTTGTTTTAATTATGTCATGATGTCTAGTTAGACATCCCTCATAGTCTTGAAACATTTTCGAAGTTTAAAATATTTAAAATTTATTAGAAATTCTTTGATTTTTAAAAAAATTCTTTATAAACCATAATACTATTTTCAGGTCTGATCTAAATTGTGGATGTGACATCACACATAGTCTTTTCTTTCCCTTCACTTTCATGTATATATTTAACAAAATATCTTTGTACCAATATTTTGGTTACTATCAAGTTCAACGATCCAAATACTTGCAATATTCTTTGGCATCGTGTTAACTACTGCAATATTAACCCAATAGAGTCGCATATTATTCAACATACCTTATATATAATGTATCTTTGAAACCGTCTTCAAGGGTTCTAGTTTGTATATGGACACCTTGTTTCTAACACCACATCCACATTGTTCAACGCACCTTATTTCTATCAATTTATTTGATTAAGTTAACACTTGATTTTAAGTCAACATACCTTCTTCCGAGTAGGGTCTTGGGCTTCTTTATTCAATCTTCCTAGAAAGGTCATGAACTCTTTTATCCAATCTTTCTAGATGAGTTATAGACTTCTGATAAAACATTCCCACTTCCCCGAATGGGTCTGTCATGGTCATTACATATACAAATACAACCACTTCCCCAACTGGGTCTGTCATGCTCATTACATATACATGTACAACTAACATATAAAATGTGTTAGTGTAACTCATGACCTTATTAGTCTTTATTCAACTAAGTAGACCAACTAAGTAGACCGAGTAACGGGCTGACATAACAATCGCGTATCAACATATAATACTATACTAGTTACTTACTGTCATATCATAGCAGCAAAAACCTATGTTCTTCATTAATATTATTAATACGAACTAGCTATGAAATAAAGATTGGCCCGTCAAGACAGTCAGGAGGCAGGACCATTTTGGCATATAGTTTTTCGAAATCCAATAACCAGACCAACGTTTTTATCTTAGGCACCACTCTCGTAACTAGCTCAATTATAACCAGAATTAATGACTAATCTTACACTTATGATGTTCATAACAACGAGTATGTATATTCTCTATATCAAGTTACAGTTAAGCATAAGAAGGGGTAACATACCTGACTGAAGTTTAACTCGAAATGTTGCGAACGTAAGCTCCAATAATCTCCTTCTTGTAATGAATCCTTCCAACGGTTCAAGCATTTTACTAACGATATATCATAGCAAAATAACCAATCAACAGGAAGAGATTTTGAGAGAGAGAGAGAGAGATTAAAAGAGAAAGATTGACAAACAATGAAGAATGAATAACTTAACCATCCTATATATAGGTAGGAAATTCCATCGATGTGTCACACCTAGACAAGGGACACGTCACGTCCCTGCATCGGAGCCAGTCCCATCGTTTGTTTTAAATATTGTCTGGGATAAGTCGATTGTTGGACCCATTTTGACCGGATAATGTGTAAAATAGTAAGAACAAGAAGTTAAACTGTTATGAAAATGATGAACAAAGGGAGATGAGTAATCTGCATATCAATAGAAAGAGATTAGCATGACAATACAACAAGTGCAAGAACTCTAGTGTTGGGAGAGGTTTCCCTCCCTACTCAATCTAAATAGACAAAGACTACATCTTAATGAACTCAAATAAATGACTACTCACCCTCTATATATATGGAGAGAAGTACCATCTAGAAAATAAAAGGGTATATAATAACTTAACTATCACTCAACATTGTAGAGCATTTTTTGTGCTCCAACAATCTCCCCCTAAAGGCTTGGAAATTGTGAGGGATAAAAATCCAGTGAGTAGATTATGTCTGAAAAAGAAGGTTCAATGTCGAAAGCTGAAATATCTTCGACTTCAAGAAGTACGAGAAAATCATAAAGCACCCATAAAATCATCAATAGATACTGCTTAAAGTATGAAACATCCTATGTCGAGTCTGAATGATAAATAATCTAATATCCGACACAAATCTAGTAAAGCCATAAATTTGATAAGTGATTATCAAAAATCAGTACCACATCACATCACTAAATGAGATCATCATATTCAGAATTCTCGAAAATCCAAACTCACTACTGGTCTGAATAATTAATAATCAGGATTCAAGACCAATTTAGCGAGGCCAAAATTTGATAGTGGTGACCAAAAGTCAATGCCACATCCATCACTAAATAAAATCACCATCTTCAGAAGTCTCAAAAAACCAAACACAAAAAACATGTAAAAATCAGATCTGGATGCTCATAACATTCTCCCCTATTTTTGATCGAGAATGCAATGAAGATTAGGAATAAACAAGTAAGAGAATCTCAGATATAAGGAGCTTTGCATGCTCCCTCTAAATCTGAGAAGGTTCTCGATAAACAAGACGAAAAGTATATTAATATTTCCAATATCGAGTCCGAATGATAAATAATCTAATATCTGGTTCAAGTCTATTAAATCCAAAAATTTGATCAGTGATTATCAAAAATCACTACCACATCGCATCACTAAATGAAATCATCATCTCCAAAAGTCTAAAAAATCCAAGCTCACTGATGGTCTAAATAATAAATAATTTGGATTCGGGACAAATTTAGTGAGGCCAAAATTTTGATCAGTGATGACCAAAAATCTGTGCCACATCAATCACTAAATAAAATCTCCATCTTTAGATGCCTCGAAAACCTAAACATAGACATCATGTAAATATCGGATATGGATGCTGATAACATTCTCCTATATTTTTGATCAACAAAGCAATGAAGATCATGAATAAGAATGTAAGAGAATCTCGGATATAAGGAGCTTCAAATGCTCTCCATAAAACGAAGAAGGGTCTTGATAAACAAGACGAAAAGTATACTAAGATTTCCAAGGTCATCGGTAGTCGGTTGATTATGCTAATGTACTTGTTTAAATAACTATAAATTAACTTAAAAAATAAATATGGATAAACTTAAGAAAATGACCGATGACAAAGAAATTGATAAAGAAGATCGTAATTTCCTTGGATTAGCAGTATACTACTAGAGATTCATCCAGGATTTCTCCAAGATCGCAGTCCCTTGGACGAAGTTGACAAAGAAGAACATCACTTTTCGGTGGGGGCATGTGCAGCAGGCTACATTTGAGATTCTGAGACAAAAGTTGTGTGAGGCACCGATATTGACCCTACCCGAGGGTGTGGATGACTTTGTATACCTATTGAGATGCCTCGATTATGGGCTTAGGAACATTACTTATGTATAGGGGCCATATGATTACGTACGCTTCAAAGAAGTTAAAGCCTCATGAGGCGAATTATCCTACTTATGATGTGGAGTTGAGTGTTGTGGTTTTCACCCTCAAGATTTGGCGGCAGAACTTGTATGGGGTCTGGTGTACCATCTATATGAATCATAAGAGTTTGAGATATTTGATGGATCAGCCGAAACTGAACATGAGGCCGTGCAGATGGTTAGATGTGGTGAAAGATTATCATTGTGAGATTCTGTATCATCCTAGGAAGGCCAACATAGTGTCCAATTCCTTGAGTAGCAAGGCGACTAGTGCCCATATCAGGGACCTATGCTTGAGGATGAGTATCACTTCACCACTATTGGATTTGATCAAAGAGACGCGAATTGAGGGGTTAAAGGAAGATAAATTGGAAGAGAAATAAGATCATGGGTTAGATTTCTACATTTATATGAGATAGTTGGGCTTTGTTAACTCAGTGCGACAGAGTGTGTGTTTCGGTTTCTGGTGGGGTTCGGCAGAAACTATTGGAAGACGCACACAAGTCAAAGTGTTCAATTCATCTGGGTGCTATAAACATGTACAGAGATCTGAGACTGAGCTACTGGTGGACCTGTATCAAGAGGGAGATAGTTTGGTATGTGGAGTGGTGCTTGACTTGCGGGATAGTCAAGGATGAACATCAGAGATCCCACAGAAAGATGCAGCAGTTGGACATCCCCATGTGGAAATGAGAGGATATCACTATGGATTTCATCATGAAGTTTCCAAGGATGAAATGTGGGGTTGATTCGATCTGGGTTATTATCGACATGTTGACCAAGAGCACCCACTTCATCTCGATTTAGGAGAGTTCATCTGCCAAGAAGTTAGCTGAGATTTACATCAAGGAGGTGGTTGCATGACATGGAGTTTCGTTCATTGTTGTTTATGAATGTGATATTCGTTTCACTTCCAGGTTTTGGAGGAAGTTTCATGAGGAGTCGGGTACTCGACTACTCTTCAGCAACACTTACCACCCACATACGAATGGTTAGAGTGAACGAACCATTCAGACTCTCGAGGATACACTTCGTGCATGTGTGTCGGATTTTGAAGGGAGCTGGGATACTTACCTTCTTTTAGGTGAGTTCTCCTACGACAACAACTATCACTCTAGCATTAGTACGCCTCACTTTCAGTTGCTTTATGGGAGAAAGTGTAGGACCCCGATCTGTTGGGATGAGGTTGGTCATCAAGTGATGGGGAGTTGTAACATCCCGTTTTGAATAGAGTTATTAAATAATAAATCAGGAACCCCGGGAAGTAATTATTTTGATTATTTTATATTATTAGAGCTTAAAATTTAATAATAATTATTGGAATGTAGTTTCGGGGGTTAAAGAATGATATTGGACTTAATCTGAAAGGATCTTGAATGACTAGGGTTAAAAGAGTAAATTCTGGACCTATGTTGAAAGGAATTGTTGAGTGAGGGGCTGTGGTG